CAGCACTGCAGGTGGCAGCTTTACCTTCTACACCACAGCGCCGGCCTCTCTCCACCTCTTTCTGTTGCTTCATATTTCAGATAAATAAATCGATATTTATTTATTTTATTCAAATAATTCTGTAAAAATAGATAGTTCACGTCAAATTCTTGGCACACCCTGGGTTTGGAATCAGACAGCGGTGAGGGTAAGTGGAACATGGCTCAGTGGTTTTAGCGCCAGGCTTCCCCTCCCTGTGCCCAGCACACTCACTTCATGAACAGTTACGGCCTGCTCCCCTCGGCTCAGGCAGTGAGAATCCAAGCCAAGTTCTCGGCCTCTTGGAGCTTGCATTCTAGGGGGGTACAACAGTCAGGACACATAAGTCATGCTGTGTAACAAAAGAATTCTGGGATCTCAGTGGCGTGACCCAATTCTGTTTTGCACACTGCATGTCCAGCATTGGCTGATGGACAGATCTGCTCCACAAGGTCCCTCCAGAAGCCACAGGCGACGGCGGCTGTGGCATCTGCAGCGTCCGTAGCTGCAATACGACAGGAGTGAGAAGGGCGAGACTTGCGCTGGCAGTGAAATGCGTGGGCCTGAGAGGAAGCGCAGGACTTTGCTCCCAGGTCATTAACTGGCGTTGATCTCAGTGCCCCACCCGAGTGCAGAGGGCCTGAGCAATGCAGGGACACACGGCATATTTGCTGAGCGGTACTGCCTTTTACCTTGGCGGAGAGCAGATGACAGACGAGCGTCTAATAAAACAGCAGGTCACAGTGGTGAGAGAGACTGTTAGGGGAGGAACTGGGTCCCTGCCCTGCTCAAGTGCACGTGTTGATGTCTTAAGTCCTGGCAACTTGTAATATGACGGTCTTTGGAAATAACATTTATTGTTTAAGATGTGTTGATTTGTGTGAAAGACAGAGAGACAGAGAGAGAGAGAGAGAGAGAGAGAGAGAGAGAAATATATCTTCCATTCGCTGACTGGTTCCCCAAATGGCTGCGATGGCCAGGGCTGGGCCAAGCTGGAGCCAGGAGTTTCTTTCAGGTCTCCCACGTGGGTGCAGGGGCCCAAGGACTTGGGCCATCTTCCACTACTTTCCCAGGCCATCAGCAGGGAGCTGGATGGGAAAAGGAGCAGCCAGGATTCCAGAGGGCAGCCACATGGGACGCAGGCTGTGTCACAGCGCCGGCCACTGCCCATTGCTCCTAGGCCTGCTCAAACCTGTTTCCGATCCCCCTCAAGTGAATTTCTCATTCCACTAACTGTGTTTTTCAGCTCGAGAGTCTTTGTTTTGATATACTTATATCTGATTTTGTTTTACATCATTTTTATTTTGCTCGTATATCAGTTTTCTGTCCTTGTCTCTGTTAGTTCTTTAATAATCCTCAAGAAGACAGTTTCCAGCCGGCGCCGCAGCTCAATGGCTCACTTGGCTAATCCTCCGCCTGCGGCGCTGGCACACCAGGTTCTAGTCCTGGTCGGGGCGCCGGATTCTGTCCCGGTTGCCCCTCCTCCAGGCCAGCTCTCTGCTGAAGCCCAGGAGCGCTGGGGAAAAAAGGCCAAGTTCCTCTTCCCTGCGCCCCATGGGAGACCAAAAGAAGCACCTGGCTCTTGGCCTTTTAATCTCTCCTTGCCTTCGGCTGCCAGGAAGCACCGGTTCCCCATCCACGGCCCTTCCTCTCCGGTCTGTTCCACGCTTGCTTCCAGTTGGGGGGCGGGTCTCATGCACGACGAAAGACTGAAGACCTAGAGGATGTCCACCCATGCTTTCTTTTGATTCTGCTAAGCGAGGGCACGTCTTGAATAACAATTGGACAACGACACGCATTTTACTGGCCGGATTGATCGTGTCAGGGCCTCCG